CAGGGTGGCCTCTTATGCTCRCTCAAAGGGAAAGCGATGTTAGGACTTAGTGTCTCATCTCAGAGATCTCTTCTTGACTCACTGATATCAGCATGGACTAGGAGGGACTCCAGGCTCCTCCTTGTGTTTGGCCATAGCAGAAGTGCGTTGAAGTGCCTGTCATTTTTCCTTTAGTACGGATGGAAGGTGTGGTTCCCATTACACATGTTGAGCTGAAGGACTTCCAGGCGAGGGGAAATTCCTCAGGGAAGGATTTCGGTCATCACAGAGGCTGAGACAATGTGACGTGGGCAGCAGCTGAGCAGCAGACCAGGACAATRGTCCAAGCAGGGATGGGACAAACGAACATTCCCCTTCTGAACCTGTGGCTTCAAGCCCAGGGCTGATGGGCTCTTGGAGCCGATGGGCTCCAAATTGGCTGACCCATGGACATGGCTAGCAGGAGGACAGACCCCTGCAGAAGCAGGGTCACCAACGTGGAGACAAAAGGAGTTCCTCATTAGCACATGGTCAAAATTAATAAATCATTGATCAGACCGAGATAACTCTTGGAGGTTCTCAAGGGTTTCTTTGACATGATGGAGTGCAGAAGAAGGAGGTTGTCTGCAGCATTTGCCTTTTGCTGTCTACTATCCTAGCAGCAGAGGCAGCCTGCCATCGTGTTAGAAGGAAGTCATTCCAGAAGAACAAAGGAAGAAAYGGGTGGCATCAATCTCCTCGCTCTGGCACCCCAAGCTTTCTTCTTTCTCCCCCGAGCAGGGCAGCATTTCTTGATCATCTGCACATTCACAGCCACAGCACTGCACTCCTGGCTTTGGTGGGACCAGGTGCAAGGAGAAGTTCTCCATCTAAGTGAGCAATCGAGATCACACAGCAAACTTGCTGCTGCTGACGGTTCCTTTTATGCTTCTCTATTTCAAGACATCTTTCTTCGAGAAGGTGATTCAGCTGTTCCTTTCTTGGGCATTCTCATCATGTTGTTTGCCTGCTGGGCTGTCTTCAGCTCTTGCAAACGCAACCAGTCTTCTCTTTTTGACAGCAGCAAGGGGGCTGCTGAATGCAAAGCAGTCTGCTGAGAATTCCCTCGCTGGGGCCTTCTGCTGATGGGCCAGAGATGCGTTTCTTGTATGACTTGATTAACTTGTTAAGGGAAACGTCTTCTTACAGCAACGCCTCATAGAAGCAATATGCACTCAAAGGAAGCATGAGCCTCAAAGAGGCACGGATCTGAGAGCCTCATAACTGCATCAAAGGACTAATTCTCAGAGCCTTTCATTAAGGAAGACTTGGGAAATGTAGCCACTTCTGGAATGCAACATATGAGAAAGAAGCCCTGGAAAAGGTAACTCTATCAGGCGCATTCTCCCAGACACCTCAAGCTGTCAGACAAGCATCCTGTCCCCTGACAGAGGTGCATTTTCTGAAAATCCCTATATATTTGCTCCCTAAGTTCAGCCCATCTGACCATATCCTAGAAAAACGTATACACGAACAGTTTGCCTTCTTGACCTCTTTAGTTGTACCTAATAGATAGTTACGGCTATTTCAACCTTGCCTACCTAATTTTGCCTCCTAATGCAAGRTAATTTGCATTTCTGCAAGTCCAACCCGAAACCATCCTAGCACTGCTCCYGCAGTTGGCAAAGTAGCCTAAATCATCCCGTTCCTTCCCAACCTGCATCTTGGCAACCATTCAGCACCCCTGTTCTACAACATGATTTCTGTACTCAGCCTTGGCCACACAGACACTGCGGGACAGGGGGGCGGCAGTGTTTTGGTTGCCCCCGYGAGACTCTGTTGGTAATTCACATTATATTGGACTTTGGTTGGGTGGGTAATTCATCATTTGCAGCGTGACAGCAATACCTGTAATTACTGCTCTTATTGTTGCTGCTGAAATTCATGTGCAATAAAGGGATCTTAATATCATGCCAAACCTCACAGTTAATTTAGGTCCTATCTCCTTTCATTTATTCTGTAATAAGCTAATTAGTTCATATAATTTGCTATTGAACGTGCCTTTGTAACAAATATATACATGAATTAGCCTATTACACAACAAATGAGGGGAATCGAAACATGAATCATTTGCAGGATTACATAAGGAATTATTATCCTTTCAAACACCCATGGATGCAGCCATCATCTTTATTACTTTAAGACTTTATTATCTGCACTGGTCTCCTCTTTGATGCCTTTGACTGACTCTTCTCCTTGGAAGGTCAACAACACATTTTGCGTTGTYTGGTGGGCCCCACTGCCACGTGCCAGGTTATCTGCAAGTTCAGGATTACTCCCATGAAGTTAAATGCCTTCCAGCTTCCCTTTCCTCCTGTTATGAATTCTGTGGGGTCTCTAAGCTCCTTCCTCTGTGCTATTTTGTAAGGTCCTTGAAAGGAATTTTAATTACACCACATGCTTTTCTGAATGCCTCCCTATACCCTCACATTTTGCTCCTCCTCCTCCCTTGGCCACACGTCCATGCTCCTGCCTTGACACATGGTGCCCATGGATGCCCTGGAGTGGAGATGTTCAGATCTCCCTGTCACAGTCTGCTCCTGGCTTTGGTTTTGTGCAGTAGGCACAGTATAAAAACATGCCCATGGAAAGGCTTAGGAATGGCTTGCACTCACTGCATTTACAAGCTTCCTTTCTAGTCTCTCTTGCAGGCTTATTTCTCCAGCCTCCTTCCTGCCAGCTCTCAATCCATACCAGGTTTCCAGCTCACTGGGACAAATCCTGAAGGATGCTCCAGGCAGCTGAGCCCTAGCATGGCCATTGCATGAGCTGGAGGTTTGTGAGCCCAGCCCTCCAGCACAGCTCCAGCAAACACATCCCACCTATTCACCRTTCCCAGAAGGGGATCAGTCACATCCAGAAGACGACTGAATACTTTCCACCCACTAAYTCAACACCAATTCACAGGGAAGTTCCTGGATTACTAACTCCATCAGTTCTAGTTTCTGCCTTACTTGGTGGCCTCACCTAACTGCTGACCCGTCCTTCCCACCTTCAAACATTAAATATAATGAGAATGCAGCTCAATAGGTTTATTTGTTAAATGTTCTCTGCTTACAGCTATTGTTTTGATTTAGTATCTAACTTCTTGCAATAATACTTTATTCTTTCCGCAGCGCAGTTAAGCAATCACCTTGCTCTCAACAGCTACCCTTCTTTACCTGCAGGAATATTGTTTTCAATTTCTAAAAGCTTAGAGTGAAAGCATTCAATGGAATAAAGATGTAAGAGCAGCCTTTGTCTGGAAAAGCTTTTTAGTATTTATATGGCCTCAACAGTATTAAAACCAAGTATAAAGCTTCCTGGCATCTGCAAGCAGGAAGTCAAACGATCTTTGGATGCAATATCCAACGCTGTTCTTCCCAAAGGAATCAGCTCAAATGGTTGCTGTGGCTGGCAAGGTCTTCCTGGGTTAAATCTGTGCACTTCCACACCACACATGCCCATGAATGAAATCCCTACATGAAATGAAAGCTTAGCATCTGCAGAAAGGCTCTGGAAGCCAAAAAGAAAGCAGGACCCCTAAAGATGCACTTGGACATTTGCAATGGGCCAGCTCAGGGACTCTGCAATGAATCAGCCTCTGCCCTTCCTCTGGAAAGAACCGTGCTGCCTGCTGGTGGGAGCCAGATGGGACCTCAGGAGCATGTCCATCAAGCTCTCGCAGAGAGACGTACAACAGCAAAATAAAAAAAGGAAAAAGGACGAATGCAAATGCAGCTAGAGACTGACAGCCACTCAYGCTTTGATTTCCTTTATGCACTGCTCGCTTGTTCACTAGTCAGAAATACTTAATATTACTGTGGCAACCCCTCTCTTCAGGCATTAATTCCAAGAAGGTACCAAAGCATTTTTAAAAATGTAAACTACAGAGGCCTGGGATCTATCTGAATCTTTGTGAATTTGGTTTTGAGCCTCTGACACCAGCACCAGTGTGGCTCAGTGTGTGCTGCCCTGGCAACATGAGAGCAAACAAGATGCTCAGTGCAGGCAATTGCCCCTCACAACTCCCACATGAAAGCTCTAAGTTATTAAGTTCACAACATAATATGAAGCTACAAGGAAATTCAGAAAGAAAGTTAGACCTCTGCCTGGGTAATTTCTCAGTCATTAACAAAACTAATAGGAGACTGTATTTCTCATTTGGGAATAGATGTCATGTACAGTTCAAGATGATTAAAAAGAAAAGCATCTTGCTGAAAGCATAAAAAAWTCACACTTAAATAAGAGAAAATGCCAAGTAAAAATGGAAGATGGTATGCAGACCATTTCCAACACGCTAACCCTAAGAGACTATAGCCCTAGATTGTGTATATGATCAACACAATGTTCCAGAGCTACAAATACTCTGGATATGCTTCAGTTGCTGAAGTGATCTGTAAAGATTCCCCCAGTCTCACTCAAGCACCTTGACCTCGATGATGGACCACGTGGGTGCGGATCAGCACACACTCAGACCCACACGAGCAGGTATCTTCACGTGCACTCTGCTGGGTTTCCTCTTCCTACCTGCAGCCTCCCATGCTAAGCGACATCAGCTGTAATTCTAGGACCAAGCCTAAACCACTCTATCGAGCCAGACCCTATGATGCAGAATGATACCAAGTCTTGCTGCAAGAACTTGCATAACACTCTCCATTTCTCGACATTACAGCAATCGATAATTGATCCCAGCCCTCCAAAACCTGCACCTTATTTCCACCTCGGGGTTTATCCCACTCAGAATTTGCTACACTTCTGTCTGACAGTCTGAGTATTTTCCCTCTCCTCTTAAAAGAAACTGAGAAACAGCTATTCTTTTCCTTTCTCCAAATATTCTCTTGCAGCATTTCTACAGGTTGTCTGATTCATTTCCTTGATGTGTCTCTATCTGCAGGTTCATACTAGAGCAAGCAAATTCCTTCTGCCACCGACGTATCCATCAAAATTCTTTCACGCAAAGGAAGACAAAAMAAAAAAAAGTGTCATTAGGAGAATCTTACCTGAAAGATAGCTATCCAGGCGTAGCCAATATTATCAAAATTGATAGCTCCGTTGTGCGGGTTTACATCCCCTGCCATGCATACATTGTAATACTGGTTCCAGTTTATGCAGGCATTCCTGCTGCTGAAGTCGGGGCTGTATAAACTCGGAGTGTAGGAGTCCATGCTCAAGGTGCACTCCACCTTGTACTCCTTCCTGTTTGGGATGTTGGAGCATTTCTGCATGCCGTTCTCACGATGGGACGAGCAGATGAAGGGATTCTCCTCCGCTTCGTCTGTCCGGTAGTACGGATGCAGGAAGGTAAGGTTGTATGTCCTGAGGAGAAGGAAGGAAGGGCGAGAGGGAATGAGACCCAGCGGCAGCAGAGGGGCTGCTCCCCGGCCCCGCGTGGCCCTCCTGCAACACAGAGCCAGCAGGAGGGTCGGACAGCTCTCCTGATGCTCAGAACAGCCTTCAGACAAGCAGAAAGCAGCTTTCCAATAAATTTAGCCCTCAGTACAGCCCAGGATGAGCGAGCAGAGCTTTAGCAAGGAGAGACCCAGCCAGAKGCTGCCTCAAACTCTGTATTTACAYAGGAAAAGAAAGAGCCCACGGTGATGGGAGCTCTGTGCTTATTGTGGACCTGATCTAACTGGCCTGGATAAAATTTCTTGCTCTGTACCACTCCGATAAACAAGTGCTCTATGTGCAGCACGGCAGGGATGTCCTGTGTCCCAAGCCATGTTCAGGGGCAGATCAGTGGGCAAGGGGAGCCCAGGACTTGTCATTGCTGTTTGATGAGGTCTGTGCAGATCCCTGGCTGCTGAAGGGCTGCTCAGCACGAGGTGCAAAGTCCTGGAGCTSACTTATCTGCTGCGTTCAGAGCTGCAGGGATCTGAGATGCTATATAATCAGGCAGGAGATAAGGGAAAAGGCAATGCAGAAATCACATGACAAGCAAGATGTGGGTAGAAGATAGGCAGGTAATTCTTCAAGACAGGACAGCTGTACCTTTYGCTGTTGCTGAACGTTCCTGACTACCGAATATATTTGGCTGTAATGATGCCAGGCTGCTGTTATCCCGTATGATTGACTGGGATTGCTTTCACCTTAAAGTGCAGTTAGTGCTTTGCTCAGAAGGGCTTAAGGGAGCAAATTCTGCTGAGCAGAGCCGTGGGGAAGATTAACCCTCAACAAGGTTTGCTGTGGAATCTGGTTTTCCCTCCATCCAGGAATTGCCAAGATAAGTTTTGACTATTCCTGTAGCTTCAGGAACACAGAAGTCAAGAGTGAGATGAATTTCTCTGTTCCCTGCTGATTAAATTTATTTGCCAGTTATCCTCCTGCCATTGCATGGTGCTTCACACCTCCCGACAAAGCTGTAAGATCTTTCTCCCAGTTTCTATGTCTTAGATATAAGAGAGAATTAAGGGACACATCTGGAAGGGCTCCATGGCACTGCAGCCATGTCCCTCCCGAGGATGGATGTTTTCCTCCGAAATYTGAAGGTTTGAGAGGCCATGGGTGCAAGTCCCACTAGTTACTTCCTCCCAAGGAACTCAGCAGAAGTTTGGCAGCTCTCAGGTCTTGCAAATGGGAGATGTGGATCAGAGCTCTCTGTGTCCTGTGGATGAGAGGGATCCACCGCCCTACAGACACGGCCAAGCCTCGACTGCGCTCTGCCTCGACTCGCACGGCAGAGCAGCGCTGCGGGCCRACCTGCTGCCCCGCGGTGGCCTTTGCTCCTCCTGCAACCAGGGCAGWCACCACGACAACCAGATGACACCCTCTTTTATAATCATCATCCAGGAAAACCTGCTCCAGCACCGGGGAGAGCTGCAAACTCCACAAATCCTGCTTTCCTGCGTGGCTGCGGAAGCAGCAGCCACCGCGACACCGGCAGCAGGAATCTCCCCATCGCTAGCAGCCTTTGGCAGCAGCAAGGAAGGGAAGGCTCAGCACGGCGCAGCTCGTGGGCTGGGGTAATTAGGATGCTACCCAGAGCAAAGCTGGACTTGCAGAGGGAGAGGGACCATCTGGAGGGATGATTGGATAATTAGCAGCTCCGGTTGCACAAGCTCCTTTCCCGGGAGCAGTTTTGTCTTTAGAGGCAGGCACAGAGCCCCGTGCCAAACACCCGGACCACGGAAAAGCGCTCAGACCGGAGGGATGACAAGTAAGCGCGATGCTAAGCTCGGCCCTGGCTCACGAGCTGCCCCTGGTGCCGTCTCCCACCACAGCACAAGCTGCAGGCACCCAAAAAGCAGCAGAGCCCTCGTGTCTGCAGCTGCCAGCCCTGCCAGGGGTCTGCTAACGCCACCCGCTCATCCTCCCGGATGAATCCCCCCGATTCCAGCCCTCAAGGGCAATCGCTAATCTCTAATRCCCAGCCGGTAGGGTGGATGCAGTGGGGATGCAACGTGCCAGCCGGCTCCGGGTACTGGAGCACTGCTGGGAGCGACGAGACAGGCTCCCCTTYCGTGCAACACGTCTCTGTTCCTGGATGCTGCATTTGGAAAGCACACGCAGCTCCTAGAGGCTACGTGTCACCCGTGAGCCGCAGGATAGGAAGCCCTGGGCTGAAGGAGAGATCTTGCCTGCAGACACTGCCTTGGGCTCTGATCTAACAGGCTGCGCAGCAAGGATCTGGGCACAGACCCTCGGGGAGAAGCCAAAGGAACAACACACCTCGGTAACTGCGGGAAGAAAGTAGAACTCGCAAAATAAAGCACAGCATGACTGATAAGGCCGGGTTCATTCTGCTGCTGCATGGCTGCTTTTTAACTTCTCTGCTCTTTGCTCTGCTTGGTTTTGCACCTGGCTCCCCAAACCACCACCAAACTCAAAGGAAGTTTCCCCACAACAGGCACAAGTCAATCCTCTTGTGCCTGTAGAGGTCAAGGGGTTTTCTGACCCGTTCTTTTCAAGTCTTTTGGGTGCCCTAAGCATGGAGCTGCACCAYGAGCATCTGTCCTGCCGGCGCGGAGCCCTGCCAGCCTCGTGCTCTGCACTCCCCAGACACACAAACTGACCCAAGTTTTAAGACCTTTTYCTATTTCTTGATTTGAAGACCCAGCTGGCAAAACCAAAAAAGAGAAGGAAGGGAAGGAGGACAAGGCTGAGAAGCAAAAAAGCATSGGGGAATGAACAAGGACCCCTAATATCCACTAAATAAATGAGTGCTATCTGGCCCCGGCACCTACCTCCATGTAAGAAAGGCCAATCTGGCTGCCCTGCTATTTGCCAACAGGCAAAGTCTGAGTAACTTATTAATGGTAGTGAATCCACTAATTACAAGACTCTTGTGCTCAGCAGAAAAGACATGGGAATCTAAGCCCCAGAATGGATCTCGTTATCATATTAGAAAGGATTAACACCCTTTTCTCGGCCAGCTGCCCGGTGCACATCTTTCCCTGGGCTTGCAGCAGCTTTGCAATCGATTCCCGGCCCTCCAGCGTGATCCCAGACCCTGGGCATGCTCGTGTGCAGGGAGGACGGCATCGGAGCAGGGAACCCCCTGCTCTCCTATGCAGTTCAGCTCACGCCTGACCCCACACGACCACCCCGCCACTTGGGACATCGCTTGCCTGTCCCGAGCACGATCCTGCACAGCGCTGAGAGCTTTCAGCTTCCCCAGGTGCAAAGGGAAGGAGGAATGGCGGGAAAAACCAGGGGAACCCGGCATCCTGCAGGATCGGTTCCCTCCGAGGAGGCTCCTCTCTGGAGGAGACCCTGCTGACAAACCAGCCCRCACGGGGCAGTGCTGGGCGCGAGGAGGCGACGCTCCCGAGTGTCCCTCGGCAGCCCGGAGCCGCCTGCCCCTTCCCGCAGCTCCACAGAAGCCAGGGAGCCAAAGGGAGCTCAAAGCCAAGCAGGTACGGAGTTAATTAAGACCGAAGTGCTCACATTAAAGCTGTCCTGCAGCATTAGACAAGTACAAAACACAGCTCTCTTCCCTCTCCTGCTTCCAGCCCACTGACTTCCTGGAGAGGCTCCGACGAGGAGGATCAGAGCACGAGAGCAGAGAGCCATCCTGACACCAAGAGCCTGGGCAGGCGTGGGAGGACCAGCTCCTCTATTTGCAATGACAGCAGCTCTTGTTGGCACAAGGGAGCCCGAGGGGAGACCAACGCCCCGGAGATCTTGCAGATAAACTGCTGGTCGCGCTCGCCCTCCTCGTGCACAGTAGATCAGTCCGACCTGGAGCCCTGGTAAAAATCCCCCCCGATTCCCATTGCCAGGGATGCCCGGGCTCCTCCTGCAGCAGCTGGGACCATCCGGAGGAGCCCGGCGCAGCGCCGAGCCGCAGCCAAGCGGGCAGGAGAACCTCCCTGCGGCCGACCAGACCTCCCCGACCTCCCACCTCTTCAAACACGGCTCCCGAGGCCGAACACGAGAGCCCGGCTTAGCGGCCAGCACTGAGGCCTCCATAAGAAAACCCCGCAAGGCCTTTGATGCTGCTAATGGACGTTACGTCATCGCCTGGTTTCTCCCAGCTGCCTAATATCTGTATTTAGCAAATGATCCCCCGGTGGTTAATTTTCAAGGCTCCGTTTCGCAGGAAATCACACAGCATTTTAGCAGGGATGAGAGGGACCCCTCCAAGGCTAATCACAGCCCTGCGCTCCGCAGGCTCCCGCGCCGGCGAGGCGGCCGCCCGAGCACAGCTTCAACGCTGCTCTTTGCCCTTTCCAACGGCAGCTCGGGGGTTATTCCAGGTCCCGGTGAGCAGGGAATGCCCGTCACTGGTGCAGGAGAGAGCAGAGCAGGACCCAGCACCATGCCAAATTGCAGGCCCACCACGACCTGCCTTTCAGCATCTCTAGAGGGATGAGTAAGAACCRCCAGGACAGCCTGCAGTGCGGACAGAGGCCCGGAGCACCAAAGGCCACACACTGATCAGCGAGACGAGGACCAGGACCTGTGCTACGGCTGCAAGAGCATCTCTGCTCTTCGTTAAGACCCAACACAAGCTGTAGATAGGAGGTGATTGCACCCAGCCCCATTTAGAGGCTGTATCTCCTGTTGCAGAGCTCGAGCTGCCCTGATAAGCCRCCTTCAGACATTCCCTCACCTCTGAGCCACCCATCTCTTTGCTGTTCTCTGGGTCTGCCCCTTTCTGGAAGGATTATCTCCATCAGCAAAGCTCTTTTTCCTCAGTTGCAGAGCAACGACAACCAGTGCTTGGCTTTGACCAAACTCTTCTGCAAGAGTTGTCTCAGCACCTGAAACCTGTATTTCCTGCCACACGCAATAACCTGCRAGCACCTTGCCCAGTCTCACCCCATCTCTCACTGCTCCCAGCCCAGCCAGGTCCCTTCCTGAACCAACAGAGCCCATCCTCACCATGGCACCAACTATCTCAAGAAAGATGCACCCTAAAACCAGCTGGGCTTTTCATCCCCTGCCTTGCACGAGAAGCTCCAGCTCTCAGRACACCTCCTGCTATTTTGCCTCCCCAGGCTCCTGGCTGGTTTCCATCTGTTGGTTCATCAAGCGACCCGTCCCTGAGTGTCTGCAGTGTTTTCATAGCTTTGGAGATAGGTCAGGGCCGTAAAGCAAGTCAAGCACCAGGGTGAACTTGGCAGCAGTCAATCGTTCAGATATTGCCCGGGATTCTGCACGGGGCTGCTCGAGCGGCTCCCTGGAGATGTGAATAACCACAAGGGCAGAGCCACGTCTCAGCAGCACGGCACGCGCAGGGCTTGCAGCTTGATGGTACAGAAGGAAAATTTGGAGATTTGGGGCTGTAGGGGGGGATTTGGGGCTGTATGGGGCGATTTTAGGGCTATAGGGGGGGGATTTGGGGCTGTATGGGGCGATTTTGGGGCTGTAGTAGAGTTATTTGGGGCTGTATGGGGTGATTTTGGGGCTGTAGTAGAGTTATTTGGGGCTGTATGGGGTGATTTGGGGGTCWTGGAGGTGGATTTGGGGCTGTAYGGGGCCAYTGTGGGTGTGTGGAGGTGGATTTGGGGCTGTATGGGGCGATTTTGGGGCCATGGAGGTGGATTTGGGGCTGTACTTACATGGCAAAGTTCCTGTCTAGGAAACACCTGTTCCTCAGCAGCCCTGCCCAGAGCTGCACGCCGACGATCCCAAAGATGAAGAAGACGAAGAAGCACAAGAGGAGGACGTTGCCTAACATAGGCAGAGTATCTAACAGCAGGGTGACGAGTATTCGCATACCTGCGGGCGGGAGAAACGGCGTTAGAGGAGCCCTGGGATGGGGCGGCAGCCGGTGCCAGCCCGGGACAGGGAGCAGCAAACGGGACAAAGCGGCAGCCAGAAGGGACTTGCGGATGTTGGGGAGGGCGTCCTCGGTGACACCCGCGCCACAACGTGTCACCGCGGGCACAGCTGCACGACAGCCGCTCGCTGGCAACACCCCCGCGAGGCGTCACCCGCCGCGGCGCTGTCAGAATACGTGTTTATAAACAAAAGGAAGATTTCTCTTGAATCGCACAAATTGTGCCCTTGAGGAAGCCGGAGCCTCGGGTGGGATCTAGGCTGCGGTCGCTCTCCCGGCTTCTCCCTGGACTCCTCCAAGGAAGAGGAGGGCAGCCCCTGCTCCCTGACTTTGGGTACCGCTGCCAACAGCATCCTGCCAACAGCCAGGGAAGATGCTCATTCCTATACACATTTTTCCACCTTTTCCATCATTTTACCCCCTAAGCTGCTGCTCTGCAAAACAATCTCCATGCCTGTACGGAGCTGGTTTTTTTTTCCCCCTAAAACATTGAAAATTTATCTCCCTATGGCAAATCATCCTCTTCCACTCCTAGTATTTGGGCTTGTTCAACAGCCCCGTTCTTGAGCCTGAATCCATCCCTCCCGGCTGAACGTTGAGTTTGCCATGGGAAAGGATTACCAGGCTGAGATGGGGATCAGCGTCTCACTGCATGCTCGTGTGAAGCCTCTTTTAAACCATGTAGGACAAAAATGAAAACAAAGCAGGGAAAAGAGCTTGGAAAAAACAAAACAAAACAACAGACAAGTGACCGCTACTAACCCTGCCTCCCCTAAAACTGCAGCACTCGCCAATGATATAAATTGTAGGAATTATATTTTTCCTGCCATTTCTAAGGAATCATTTCTAATAGAGATGATGTTTTTATTGGCCGAGGCTCTCTTTTCTTTTCTTAAATAATAAAAGAAAAATGAAATAATCTTGTGGGTGAATTTATTGTGCCTGGAAGCAAGAGCTAATGGTGCTGGCTGGAACGCAGGCCCATGCCCAGGGTTGGGTGGATGAAGTGCAGACCCCCCAGCACAGGGGGTCCCTCTGGCTCTGTCCGCGATTCCCATCTCCATCACCAGACAGTCGGTGCATTCGGATAGAGGGAATTTCCACACTAAGCTGCAGCATCCCCACGGATGGAAGACTAGGCAGCGTTATTGCCCAGACACTCCAAAATACGATAAAACAGAGGGTTCTCACAACCCACCCCGCGGCTGCGACAAGCAGCAGAGCTGCACGAGGACRGAGCTGGCATCTCATAAACACGGACAGGCCGGACTTATCCTCCCGCCGGGAAGCGCGCGGCTTCGCAGGATGCTAATCCCGCCCTGGCGYGGGTTCAAGCCACCGCTAATGTTATAAGCCCAGCCTAGCTGCTCATCAAGCACGGCAACGCTGAGCACGGATTTAACTCTTTGAATTTAATCTCACGTACTATTAACAAAAAAAAAGAAGATTTTCTATTATGCGTCTCCTAGAGGGTGGGGATAAATAAAATAGCGAGCAGAGGAGCTGCACCTGAGCCTCAGTGTCAGCCCAGCTTGGAGCTGTCYGGTCAGTGTTGAACTTAGACATTTTTTTTCTTTTTTTTTTCTTTTTTTTGGTGGGGGAGGAAAGGAAATCCTAGTGATTAGATTTCAGAGAGAAAGTTCACAGATTCCTATGCAAAACATCATCTCTTCCCTTGCATGTGTCTCTATGGGACTGGAAGCAGAACCGCTCGGGGCAGTTCGTTTTGTTGGGAGAAATGCCCACATTACGGGCAGCAGATCCCACCAGGATGCTCGGCGAGAAGTGGCTCATTCCAGGTGCTTTGCAAAGCAGCAGGAAAAGCCCTTTCTGCAGAGACCCCGTCCGATTTCCATGCGCTGCTGCATTCAGCGCAGAGAGGGTTTTGGTTAAAATGGGACAGAACTACAAAATTGGTACATCCCGAAGGCCGGCTCRGGGGATGGCTGCTGCTGGCAGGAAATTATTGCAGCTTGCTGGTTGCTCTTTCAAATTGGTTTTAAAGACAAGCAGCTGAATCCACTTGAAAACAGGTTTAGGGGCCACTTGAACTTCCCATTGTGCGTGAACCCAATTTTCCCGTGCACGACAGCAAAGCCGCTGCGGTGCTTTAGCAGYCACAGAGGCTGCTGCACTTTTAATCCTGAGCACAAGGGGAGGGAGAGACCTGCAGCAGCTACAAAGGAAAAAACAAATCTATCCAGGGGCAGAAGATCCCTTTTAGCCTTGCTCTTTCCCCCTTCTTTATAGGATTTATAAGAACTTTGTTATTTCCTTAGCACGAGGAGCAGGCCGGGAAGGTCTTGATACACTTACTTGTCTCAGGGAGTTCACAAAAATGTTGGAAAACAGCCATGAAAACCTGGCATCCCGGATTCAAAACCTACTCGCACTGCCCTTTCCTAACACCAATAATAATAATAAATGAGCTCTTCCTCGCCGTCAAAAATTAAAATAAATGAACTTGCTCCCAGCCAGCACGAAGGGAGCCGCCGGCAGCTGGAGGGGGCTTAAATCCCTGCTTTTCCCCGAGCTTGCCCGGATGGAGTTAGACAGGAATCGCGGCGAGGCTGCACTTACTTGGCACCCTGTTAATGGCTCGCAGCGGCCTGAGGACGCGGACGGTGCGGATGGCCGACAGGCTGACGTTGTGGCCGTCCAGCGAGTACTCCATCATGCTGGGGGCGAAAGGGAGAGGCGGTCAGGGCAGGCGCTGCTCCCTCCCGGCCCCGGGAATGCCCATATGGGATGGAACCCCCGCCATGGGAACCCTGCATGGTGCAGAGCGACCCCCTCCACTTTTCCAGGCTGCCTCCGGGGCCACTTCCCCATGGACCCCCCRAGCAAGAAGACATTTCAGACCCAATCCCCCCTACCAACATCCCAGCATGTCGTCACACCAGCTCCTATTTTCACCAAAACACCAAACGGTGCCGCCAAAACAATGGCTGGGGTAGTTTGCTTCCCATTTTATTATTAGGAATAGGGAACATTTTCGTTTTCCTGCTCTGTCTCCATTTCACGTAAACATTTCCCTCGCAGGCTGGGAAGGACGTTGAGTTTAGTCCACTTTCTTGCTCTTTTATAGCATTAAGTGGCAAGCGCATGGAGTGTTGTTGTTTTTTAATGGGGCTATGGCTTGTTAGCATGGCTGTAATTACAATTTATGGGTTGGACTACAGGGAAGCAGTTGTAAATATGTCACAAATCTCTCACCCCGCCTGCTCAAATAACATAGCGGCATCAAACGCCGCCCTRGTACAGAAAGGGCTCTTGTTTTGCTTTAAATAAACACCAGGRTAGGGAAGGAGGGAGGCAAATATGAGCAGAGCTGCTGTAATCTCAGCAGCTTCAGGGCAGAAAGGGAGATTTTTTTCCCATTTCAGCATCCTCTAGCCAGGATGTCCCCTGAACTGTTAAGTGTCATCGAGAAGCAAGTGTCGAGGTGTCCTTGCCCCTTGCTTGGGACTTTGGGGAGGCAGCCCCACCATATCACTGGCATGGCTTTGGCCCTTTACCCTTATTTCCCCACGTTTTACCCTAAATTCTCAGGCCACGGTGATTTTACGCTGTTTTTAGCAATAACCTTCTGTGGATATTTTTTTCTCGTGCTGTAGCTTATGAGCCTTTATAAGTCAAAAGCACCTTGACGCTTGTACTGAGCCGAACCTGATGCTCCCATTGGAAGAAGCTAAGATCTGGCCTCGCAAACAGGCTTTCTGACTCCAGGATTTTGCCCTTCACTGGGATACCATTCATGTTCTCAAAGTGAGCTGCAAAGGATCTACATTTCCCAACCACTTCATTGAATGCAATGGATTCCAGACGGGATCTTCTAGAAGCAGAGAAATCAGCTGCAACCTTCAYGTAAAACTCTGAAGTTTCTTGGTCAAGCAGCTGCTTGGGGTCCTGTTCTCACACCACCCTCAGAAGCCAAGGATATCCAGGAAATTCCCTGTCAAAACGCGCTGGAGCTGGAAATTTTGGCGCTGCAGGGCCTGGAGAGACTGGCCCTTGGTAGATGATTCCCCAAAGCCTCTGCACGTGGGAAAAACAAATCAAAACAACAACAAGAAGAACAAAACAGGCACGAGCTTTTGCAATGTCTTCTACCACGAGCGGCTTCCTTTCCTCGAGCTGTCAAGTTGAGGATGTCCAAAGCAAGTCGCACGGGCCTGCAACGTCTCCAGGGACTGGATGCACAGGCAGCCTCCCTGGTTTCCGCTCTTGTGGATAACATTTCTGATGCTTGGGAACTGCTTTCCACTTGGCTGCTGGTCAGGCTGCAAGGCTGGAAGCTCCATTCGCTCTGAAATTTTCCAGGGTACATTTCTTAGGCAAGCAGAATACGAAAGGGCTTTCAGTGCTGGAACAAACTTCAGAGGCAATCTGTTGCTGAAGGCAGAAGATGTGTTTATTTCGTAGTTTCCCTGCTTACCCTCAGTTTTCTTTGGTACATTTCCTAGGAGGCCAAAGCAGCTTATTTGAGGAGACCAAAYGGGATGACCAAAGCGGGCAGTGCTGCAGATCCCTTGTTTCTCTTCCTATATGAACTTCACTGCATTCACTCACTGGCTCGAGGAAAGCAATCGAGTCACTCCAGCAGTTTGCTGGCTGCTGAAAGCATCTCTGGTTTTAGGAACAGTGGTGAGGGAAGAGGCAATAGTCCCAGCCCATCCATGCACCTCCCTGCCCTTTACCAGCGTTGCCCACTGGCCACCCCAGCTCCAAAGCAGCCTCTCTTGCTGGAGGCAATCCCACCACGGGCATGGCTTCCACATCCCAAAATCTGCTGGAGAGGGTTGGGAGCAGCCAGCAAAAGGGTTTGTCCCACTTTCCACCTGCAGCACCAGTGCCAGCGCACGGGCACGGCGGCTTCCTGCAGGGTTTCATGGCGTTTCTGCTCTCGTCATTGTTCTCCAATGCATCCTTGTCATGGAGGCTTGGAAATGGCCTGGAAAGCTACCAAACTGACTCAGCGGCCAACTGTCCGGCCAGCCCAGGTCTAAGGGAGCTAAAGATCCCAGTGCCAGAATCTGTCTTTGAAGGAGGAGCCAAGGACTCGGTTTCTGCATCTGCGTGTGATATTTCATCGTAGAGCTTTGCTGCGAAGCTCTAGCTGATGCCACTGGGAAGCTCTGCTTATCCATCAGGAGAGCCCATCCTGCAGGATCGGCGCGGGGAAACCGCCAGCCCCTTTGGTTGCGAATGCCAGATTCCTGATCCTGAGGTTCCCAGGGAAAGCAGAGCCGCCGGCGCAGCTTCCAGCGCTGCAGCAGCTCTGGAGAAGAAAACCTGGTGGCTTTTATTGCTCCTGCTGTTCCTGCCACCCGGAAGCACGCGTGGTTCCAAGGAAGCTCTGCTCGGGATAGCTCGTGTTTTATTCAAAGCTGCAAGGCCATTCCTAATTGTATTCCAGACACGGAGCAAAACAAAGCTCCTCTATTAACGGAGTCAAGACCCTCACTAACACAAGGGTAAAAATACCCGCAATGTATTACAGGAAAGTCCTAATTAACCCCAGACAGGCCATGCCATAAACCAATGAATTCAGAAATAAGGCAGTGCTTCACAATTAAACCAGCCTATCCTTTCCTCTGGTGTGCCAAGCGGGTAAAAGAGGTTGGGTTTCTAAAAGCTATTTGTTTATGGAGAAGACTTTTCAAGACTTCAGCCTGCCATTCGCTCTGCTTTCCCTATGGGCGTGGGGAAGCTGGCAGCAGCAGAACCCAAATCTTCCTGGGGTGATTCAGCAAATGAGTTAAACCTGTTTGTTAACAGCTCCTACAGAAACAAGCAGCTGTGGGAGATGATGTTAAAACGTAACCCACAAATTCACAGGAGAAATTTGCAGGCGCTTGCCATTTAGGAGGATTGGTCATGGCAGCTGATGGCCAACTGCTTGCCACTTATTCCCGCTGGGATTTCTATCTCCCGGCACCAGCTTTTGGGGCTGGGTTGCCCGTTTGGCTAAGTTCTGCCTTTCTGCTCTGCTCCAGTGATGCCACAACAGCTGTCGGGTCTGCAGAGAACAGCCGCTTTCCTGCCAAATCGAAGAGCTCACTTTAATTAAATCCCTTAGTGCCGGCTGCTAAGTACACTACTCGCTATTAAAACAGACAGGAGCTCAGGCACAAGCAATTTCTTTGATCCCGTGTTTGCCCCTCTCCTGGTTTTCTGCCTCTCCCATACTCTTGGCAGTGACATTCACACCTCTTCCCATAACCAGGGTCCTTGCCAGAGGCTTAAACCAGTGAGAATTTGATTTGATTGAGCGAGACATTAGGAAAACCAGCTGGGACAAACCGGGGATTCGGTTCTCTGGGGTTTTCTAGTTTTCACCATGAACAACAAGTTTATGAGGTTTGGTTACTGACCCYGCCATCACGATGAAGAAGTCCAGGCGGTTCCACGTATCTCCAAGGTAGCACTTCTGCCCGAAGATGCCCAGAGCCACCATCTTGATGACCATCTCCACCGCAAAGAAAGCGAAAATGAAGTCGTCAAATGCCTGGAGACCAGTAAGAGATTATTGCAGTCAGTTCTGCTGTGTCCTCCGGGAGAGGGGCGGCGGGGACGGGAGCGCTCCCGCTGCAAGGGCATGGGCACATCCCGCGGGAGCCTCTGCCAGCGCCCAGGAGCCATCCGCAGCAAGGATGGAACACGGAACAACTCTCCAAACCACTYGCCCAGCGCTCACGCGCTCTGGGATTGTGTCTCTGGCACTTGCTTTTTGAGGCCTGAAAGGATTAATGGTAAATTTAACAGAATCTCCAAGCAGGAGCCACGATCCCACTGTGCATCCATGCACCTCCATGGGGCTGGGCACGAGGACCTTCCCACCTAGCTGTTGGCCTCATCATCAACACTCCCCTGGATAACCTGCACTGAAGGTTTGCTTCATTATTTCAGTTCATTTAATAATTGGCATCTGAACGCCTCCACAGAGAAGTTCAGGTTTCTCTCCCTCATGTTCTGGCTTCTGTTTCCTCCTGCAAGCTGCGACAGGGTGATGGATAAACACGGTTTTGCTCATGGCCCTTTTCTGCCTGCAAACCCTTCAGGATAACACTTTGCTTTTTTACAAATATGCTCAATATGTTGTAATCATTCAGCAGTTATTAGAATCTAAATGCAATGCCTGGGCTCCTTGCAGATTCTACACTTGTTTATTTGAGGGAGAACAGACCTCTGCATGTTTTGCAAGCTCTGTGATTGCRACCTGATTAAATTACATTGTCATAAAAAAAAAAAAAAAACCCATACCAAATAGCAAACCTTTATTAACGTCACCTCCTCGTCCAGGCAGGATTCCCTTTGTTGGCCTGAAYGCTTTGCAGGGACAGGCATCCTCCAAACGGAGTTCCATGTGGGTGAATACATGGAATAAACTGCAGACGCGTGGAGGTTGTTTCACCTGACCCTTGGAGAAATTCCTGTGCTAGACACTCTTATACAAGAGTTTCTCCAAACGTTTATTCCTTGACAAGCCCTGTGGTGTGTCCCTATTTGTGTGGTTTCCTGGGCTCTGCATTTAATGGATCCCTTTGGATTGATGGAGGTTTTGGTGCCCAATCCGGCAACTTGGGGATTTGCAGACAAGTCTGGACCAAGGCTTGAAAGGGGCAGGAGAGCTTGGTTGGGAGGACCCGGGGGCCCTCCTTGAATGCTGTAGAGCTCAATGGGTAAAGCAGCACGTGGCTAGGAAGGCTCCAAAGGAAGCCGGGGTGCCGCAGTGCCACCAAGCCAACAGCTTGGGCATTGCCATCGGGGAGGGATGTTTGTGCTTGGAGACATCCCCCAGATCTGCTGCTCCTGCTCCTTGGCTGTGCTGAGGGCCTCAAGCAGGGACCTGTCCCGTGTTTTACCTTCTTCTAGAGAGGACAAAGCCACCAGGGCTTGACCACACGAACTGCGCTGCAGCGGAGCAGGAGACACCATCCAGTGTCCATCATGGAGCTCCAACCTTGGACCTTGCCGGGCAGGTCCGGGTCGGCCCGAGGCGGCGCTCGTGTCCCGCGGCGCTCGTGCCCTTACCTCCAGGATGGTGCAGCGCTCCGACTGGCACTCCACGTCCTCGCAGGGCTGGAACATGCCCAGGGTGACGCAGTTCAGCAGGATGACCAGCATGCTGACGTGCTCGAACCACGTGAGGAGAGCCCGTTAAGGAGAGCACACGCTTGGCCATCGCCTCGGGGCGCCAAAGCCAAGACACCCGCGATTCACCTGGCAAAGGAGCTTCACTGATGGCATGAGCAACAAAGAAACCACCCCCAAACATCCAAGGGATGCTCAGACTTGAATTTTTAGTAATTGATGGAAAGGGCCTTGGAAAGGGAACTCCTGGTGAGATCAAGGGAGGAAGGCTGCTTTTCATTTCCTACAGAGAACCAAAGTTCGGGAAGCACCAAGAGGCCCATCCATTGCTGTGTTTCCACCTGAAGCCATGAGCCATCACTCACTGCTGCATTGCACCCATGCACGGGAGCAGCAGAGAGCCYAGCAGTCCCTGTCCTGCCCTTGGAGCCACTGCCTTTCCAGATCTCCAGGGCTTTCACCACGGAGTCACCCAGAACATCCCTTAGCACTCGCTCTTTTGCTACCACGAAAAGGAAATCAAGCCAAAGATGAATGGATTGGAGCACCACYGAGTCCCACCAGGCCTGGGTGGGCTCTCCAGGTCTCTCCAGCTCCTCGCTCCCGGAGCTTGTCCTCCTCATTCCCTCCCAAGTCACTACAGCAGCTGCCAAACTCATCTTATCTCCTTCCCCGGTGCCTAAGTCTCAAGGAGCTAAGGCGGCCGGATCAGGCTCCACGTCACAACCACAGATATAAAGGGAAAGCAAAGCGGAGCCAACAGCACAACCGGCAGGGCCAGGGATGACGGCATCTTGCATTAGGACGTGGAAAGCTGCAGGCAGAAGAAAAGAGCTATTCTGCTTAATTACACAAATCAGAGCCTCCGAATCGCCCCCCTGGCTCTTATCCCCAGAATCCTCTCGTTGCTGTCACGGAAAGAAGTGCAAAATCAGCAGCACTGATGCAGCGCGGAGCCCTGTTCCACGTGTTGCGGCCACGACACGGATAGTTCCCGTTGCCACCGGACTTTCAGACCCTTGTGCTGCCGTGCACTGCGATAAGGGCACTTCTTGGGCTGCTGCTAGCAGTCYAATATTTTCCTTAAAATTCTGAAATGCAGAGCATGCAAGACAAAAAAAATAATGCTTTCCTGGTTGGCATGCTAGACTTTCAATGTCTGTTTTTAAACTGTGCAGGTTCACGGTGCGCAGCCACGTCCGTAGCACTGTTCTTCGTCTTTCTTCTCTCTGCACTTTGCACCAGTCATTTCCCCAGCCCAAAGAACGAGCACAGAAAACCCCAGCGAAGCTAATGAGGCCGAAGGCTCCGACGCGCTCAGTGCAAATGAGCCCCCTCTCTGCCCTTTTCACGGGGATCATCCCTCCCATCCATCACCGGGTTTCCAAAAATATTTGGGCAAGAAACCCACTGAAAACGGTGGGGCCGCGTTGCAAACTGCCCTGCKGCCGTCCCACGCCCAGATGCGCCCCAGACAAGCTGCTAAAAGGGCCAAGTCCTCGTGCTGAATCAGTCTGAGCTGCTTTTAAACTTCCCTGYGGGATTTGGGAGACTGAGCCCCTTATTTTGGCTGCTCGGATGTGGCACTAAGGCTGTTATTGCCGCTCTCCCAGCCGTACGCCCCACGCGGCGCTCGCAGGAGGAAGGCGGGATAATAAAAGCCAAGTTATAGTTACAAGGAGGACATATGTTTACAGGAGCTGCAGCCAACTGAAGTTTCAGTTTTTATAGTCGGAGAAGTGACTAATGCACTAAATATACCCCCACACATATAGGTGTGTATATATAGACATATATCCGCATACACACGTTGGAGAGACGGGGATTGCAGGGAGGGAGCTGGGTGAACCCTTCTCAGCGAAGGGCAGGGCTCAACCACATCCATCCCCTCTGCCCCCTTGGAAAAATCCCAGCCTCGCATTCCCGTTGGAAGTCTAGATGGGAGAGGGGCCTGGATTCCCCCAGGAACCAGGGGCAGAGGGAACCGCAGATTCCCATGAGCTATGAGCAAGGTGACCGGGAGGCGACCAGAGTCACCTCAACCTGCCGGCAATGAGAAACAGGCTAACATGACAAAGAGGAGCAGAAAAGGAGAAAAGCAAAGAAGGGAGAAGAAAGAACTGCAGGAAAATGAGTCAGAATAAAATTCCCGAGAGGCAGCGCTGGCATCATTTTCAGGAACATTCTTATTTTTAAAAAAGTTGATTGATTAAAGTTATTTTTAGTCCCCTGCTGCACTGGCTCGTTCGGGTGTGTTTGCTTACGAATGGGGAAAGCAGAAGAGGTGCAGGATCTGCCCCCGGCCGCCGCAGACACCGGCCCCGAGCAGCATTCCGGCCGCGGAGCCGCCTTTAAGATGGGATTATCCTGAATCCGGGTACAAATGCATCCCATTGCTAGAAAATATGGACTAGTGGCAATATTGGGATAAAAAAAAATCCCCCAGGAATTAAGCACAGGAACAACGGGATTAAAAGAGAGCAGCAGAGTGAGGGGATGGCGACTTGGAGGAGACGGGAATGTGGGGAGAGACATGGCAGCAGGACAATTCCCATGGGATTCCACCACCTTGGCACCCCCATCCCCTGCGTGTGAGCGTGGCCACGCGGCTCCAGCCAGCTCCCCGGGGAAGCTGAAGTCAGCTGGAGGGACGGGAATGAAGCAAAATGACAACTTGGCTTTCTCCGGGTCATACAGCCAGCCAGGGGAAAACCAATYATAAGAAAAAGAAAACAATTAGACTTTGAAGAAGCGCCGTGTGGTGGGCAAGAAAAATGCCGTTTTGCAGATGGGCGCAATCAGCATGGAAGGGGGCAGAGGGATGGAATGGGGGTCCTTGGTCACCCTATGGAGCAGAATGAGCAAAGGGAAACGCTACCAGGAGGGTGAAGATCAGGGATGCGTGTGGGACGCAAAGTGTGATGAGAGGAGGAGAGTCACCCCAGCCCAGGCTGAGGAGGGCGGCTCCGCGGTGCAAGACCCTCCTTGGGGCCTAGCAGAGGTCCCAGCRAGCTGCCCACCCTGTGCTGGAGCCCAGCTCTAGGAGCACTGGGACAGATCTGCACAAGCAGAAACATCCGTCACGGGCAGGTGAAACATTCCCACATSTCTAGACTGCAGCTTCATGGACCGACCCTCTTGGTTAGAGGGAAGTGTCACAGGGAGATCAAAGGTGGGATTCTTCCTGAAGGCAAAAATCAAAGAAAAGGGAAAAATAAAATAAAATAAAATCCCCAACCTAACACTCCATGTTACGCTTGGAGCCAGGGCTCGTTCTTCTGATGAATGGAAGCAATTATTTAGGAATCATTTAGGCAGCTTTGATTCGAGGGGCAGCTCAGAGTGACGCTCGAGCGAGCTCAGACCCCAGCCCGGCTGCAGCACCGTGGTCGAGTTCTCCTTCCTCTTCCCCAGGGTGGCTCCGTGCCCACCATCCACCACGGAACAACCCCCAGATTGGSGCTGACAGCACCGGAGCATCGCAGCAAACCCAGACTTTGCTGTGGAGCAACTGGCTGCAGCACAAGCAGCTGGGAATCCAGGGCRATGCAGAGCCAAGTCCTCAGGCCATCACAAATTAGGACTTTTTCTACCAAAAAAAAAAAATGCTTCCAGTTTCATGGATCTTGCTTTTGGGGCACAATTGCTGGGTTTTGGTGCTGTGTCTCCAGCCTGGCAGCGCAAGCCCCRTACGCCGGGAGGCTGCTTAGGGCACGAGCCCCTCAGGCCCCAACAGGTTCTTCCTTCCCCGGGGTCTTTGTCCTTTAGAGCCCAWCTCCCCTCCGGACCCTCCGCACGGAGCAGCCCCGAGCACTCGGAGGCGGCTCCGCTCCCCCCGGCAACGGCCCCATCCCTCTCCCGCTCCCGGCCAGCRGGTAAAACTGCTTCTCATCCCGCACAGAATGAAACCAAGATCTATTCTAACACATATTCAAAGGAATAAAGGCCGGGGAGTTCAGATCCAAAGCGAGGGATTGGGTAACAACAAGCAAAAGGACTTGCAAAGCCTGAGATAAAGTTATTGGAGCTGCACCCCGCACGTGAAAATTAAAGGAAAAGCCAAACACATTTGCAGTTTAGGTTGCAAGGGAGTTCATGCCTCCGAAGAGCTCTCGTGCCGTCAGGGTGGCTGTTGGAGCCGACGCAACCAAATGCTAATTGTGCTCYACAATCAATGGTGCCTTTCTTAGAAGTGGCTGGATAATTATGTCTAAACACAAACGAGCTTTTTTGAAGAGGTAAACAGCTGAAATTCATTACTCCTCTCTTCCGAGCTATTCAGAGTAAATTGGTGGCGCCGCCAAATGTGGGAGTTTTCTGAGCGCTGCCGTTTCCACAGGTGCCCGGGTTGGTGGGAAGAGGGGCCCAGGCGTCCGGTGGCCTCTGCACCAAACGGGTCAGACCGTTGTTCTCAGGGCTCGCTGCGCGGTGCTGCGCATGCAGGAATCGCGGCCGCCCTGGCCCTGGGCCAGCAAAGCACTTAGCGCCCACCGTCCTCGCGCCCATTCCTGCCCGAGCCCCGGCCCGGCGCTCCCGGAGCCGCGCGGCCCTAAATGCAGGGCGAGCCCAGCCCAGCGAGGGAGAGGAGGGGACGGCCGTGGGATCCGGGGAAGCCCGCGGCATTGCACGCGCTATAATAACGTTGTTATTCCCAAGTATTGYGGAGGGAACTGAATCCGCCTGCTCACACACAGCACACGGCCTGGGGGCACCAAAACCCACTTGGTGCAGCCAGTTTCTGCCCCAATGTACTCAGACCAAGGGGCTCCAGCAGAGACTCTTTTTGCCGATGGCCARCACTGCTGTGCTGCCCCACACATCCCAGTTTGGGGAGCTCAACACCCCAACTCACTCTCTTGCGGAGCTGCTCCATCCTCACCAGCCCTGGGGCAGTGCAGGATGCGACCCGCTGCATCCCCACCTGCCCTCTCCCCTTTTCGGCTTCCCAGGCAACGAATAATGAGAATAAAGGAGTGAAACAAGTGCTGTGACTGTCAGGTACTGCTGCCGTGATTAACTGCCCACCGAGAGCCGCTGCTTTCGGCGGCGCTCGCTGCTCC